CATTTTAGGCAAAATTTAGACACAAACTGAGGACAATATTTTCCTGATATACAGGGTTTATTTAGTTGTCTGAAAATGTAACACGTTTAAAAAAAATACCGCGATAATACCGAAAACCGTGGTAGTTTTGGTCACAATAACCGTGAGGTTACATTTTCACACCGTGACAACCCTAGTTTATGTATATAATGAATAATAATTCTAGAGATAATCAATCTATCCTTAGTAAATGGATATATACCACAGGATTTTAAGGTTGCTGTAATCAAACCTTCACTTAAGAAGCCTTCTCTGGATCCAGATGACCCAATGAATTATAGACCAATATCTAACCTTCCATTTTTTATCCAAAGTCCTGGAGAAAATAGTGGCCATCCAAGTATGTGAGCATTTAAACACTAATGATCTGTTTGAGGAATTTCAGTCTGGTTTTAGAGAGTATCACAGCACTGAAACTGCATTAGTGAGAGTTACAAATGATATTCTCATGGCCTCAGATAAGAATCTTGTGTCTGTTCTAGTCTTGTTAGATCTCAGTGCTGCCTTTGACACAGTTGATCACAATGTTCTTTTAGAAAGTCTTGAACATGTTGTAGGGATCAAAGGAACAGCACTAGGCTGGTTTAAATCCTACCTGTCTGACAGATTTCATTTTGTAAACGTACCTGACAAATCTTCTTCATACTCCAGGGTTACTTGTGGAGAACCACAGGGTTCAGTGCTTGGAACAATTATTTTTACTATATATATGCTCCCAATTGGTAAAATCATTAGACAGCATGGGATAAACTTTCACTGTTATGATGACGACACTCAGTTATATTTATCCATTAACCCTGATGAACCTAATCGGTTGGGTAGATTACAGGCTTGTCTTGAGGACATAAAAAATTGGATGACTCTAAACTTTTTGCTTTTAAATCAAGACAAGACGGAAGTTCTCATCGTTGGACCAGAAATCCAGAAAAGGAAATTGCTTAGTCAATCACCTGACCTGAATGGCATTAAATTGGTATTCGTGAACAAAGTAAGGAACGCTGGTGTTATTTTAAACCAGGACATGTCATTCAAATCCCAGGTTAATCAGGTTTGTAGGATTTCTTTTTTCCACCTTCAGAATATTGCTAAGATGCTGAAAAACTAGTTCATGCATTTATTACATCAAGACTGGATTACTGTGATTCATTACTCTCAGGAAGCCCACAGAATGTAGTTAAAAGTCTTCAACTTGTCCAAAATGCTGCAGCTAGAGTTCTGATGAGAATTAAAAAGAGAGATCATATCTCTCCGGTCTTAGCTTCCCTACATTGTCTACCTGTTTAATTCAGAATAGATTTTAAGATCCTTCTTCTCGCACATAAAGCTCTTAATAATCAAGCTCCATCATACATCAGTGATTTGATGTATATTGTTCCATACGTTCCTAACCGAGCACTTCGCTCCCAGACTGCAGGTTTACTGGTGGTTCCCAGAATATCTAAAATTAGGATGGGAGGCAGATCTTTTAGTTATCAGGCTCCTCTCCTGTGGAACCAGCTCTCAGTCTTAGTCCGTGAGGCAGACACCTTGTCTACTTTTAAGAATAGGCTCAAAACATTTTTATTTGATAGGGCTTATGGTTAAAATCTGATGTTAGCCTAAATCTGGACAAGTGGGGGAGTACAGGGAGATGGAGTGTACAGTCGGTAAAGACGGCTCTCCCTTGCCCTGCCTCCAACATGCCTCCATCTAAAAAGGCTAGGTTATCCAGAGTTATCTCTGTAGTTATGCTGCTATAGGCTTAGACTGCTGGAGGATACACTGACCACTTTTCACACTCTACTACTTTCTTCTACAACCTGCTCTTTAACTGTATTATTTCCTGCAATTTCAGCTATTAACTTTATTTTTTCTCTAAGTGTTTTTCTCCCCAGAAGAAGCTATGGTGATGTTATTCTGAGCTGTGGTGGCCTCATGGAGGGGGCCATCATCTAGCACACTGCTGCTAACCACTTAAACCTTCTCCCTCTCCTGATAATAACTTTTGCTTTCCTTGACGTTGGAAGTGCTACTGCTAGTTTACCCGTTTAACAATAGATTCACTAGGATAAATACAATAAAGTTTATCTCTCGCCAAACAGAATATTTACTAAGCAATCACAATGTAACCACAGATGTATTGCTTGGTGTGTGTGTGTGTGTGTGTGTGTGTGTGTGTGTGTGTGTGTGTGTGTGTGTGTGTGTGTGTGTGTGTGTGTGTGTGTGTGTGTGTGTGTGTGTGTGTGTGTGCTCTGTCTTCTCGATCCCCAGTGAGTCGTGGAGGATGGCTGCTTATACTGAGCCAGGATTCTCTGGAGGTTTCTTCCTGTTAAAAGGGGGTTTTCCTCTCCACTGTCGCTATATGCTTGCTTAGTATGAGGATTGCTGTAAAGTCACTGACACTAGTGACCTGATGCAATTTGCTGGGTTCCTTATATAGGAAACATTATTTCTGATTGGCTTAATGAACTGACCTGTATTGGAATGTTTATTATGTGACGTGCCTTGAGATGACTTTTGTCGTGATTTGGCGCTGTATAAATAACATTGAATTGAATTGAATTAATTCTGATATTTTCAGTTTTGAGTTCACATCCAATGCAAGATTGGGAGTTATTTTTGACATTCTGGTGATTAGTGATCTTATTTGGGTGTTTTTGTTTCCCAAGCCCAGTGGTGTCTTACCCTGATCCTCGAGAGCCACAATTCAATATGTTGTAGTTACATAGGGAGGCTAAGTCACGCCCATCTACTTCCAGACCACGGGTCCCTGGAAGAATGAAAAAATGAATGCAAGTCCGTGGGGCTAAAAACACTATTTTCTAAGTCTGCTTGTTTTGTACAATGGATTTCACACATGATGTGTGTGAATTTTAAAGAAGTATTTTATTACCAAGAAACTGTTTATTTTTGAACAGGAGGAATTGTTATTTTAGGTTTCGTGTGAAAATGAGTCCAGGACTACAAATGCGCTACACGAAAGTGAGGTCGTCAAACCAGACACGGAAAAAACGGAGGGAAAATGGATGTAAGTTCAGCAAACTTCAAATCCTTCTCACAGGAGGAAAGAACCACCATAAATCTGGTTGTGTGGTAAGTAGCAGCTATGCTAGGGGAGAGGAGATTATGTGGTGATGTCATATATGCGACGTGCCAATTTCTGGTGTGTAGTCATGCAAATTATGAGCTTTGGCAAGCTGATTAATCTTAAAGTACATGACAGGAATGGTCGGAACACCCATCATTACTTTTCATTTAAATTGCAGTACAACATATGTGCGATCCAGCCAAAGCGGATTAGAAAATAGCCCCGTTGATATGCATTAATTTTTTCATTTTACCCCATGAGACGACCGGAAAGGGAGGGGACTTAGGCTCCTTGTTCCCTCCAAAACATCTCATTCAATGGTTCAATTATTGGTTCAGCAAGTCATCAAGCTCTGCAGATGCCTGTAAATCACCCAGGTGTGTAGATCAAAGGACTCTAAAATGCTTGCTCTGTCCCTGCTGAGTTTTGGTCACTCTTGTTTTTTTTTATCATACCTGCCTGCTGCACCCTTGGGTTAAACTCCTACTGCGCTAATATATTATTTAGTGGAGTAAAATAAATGCTAACGTTGTTTTTGGAAAGAAACACCTCGAATAGAAAAAGTTGGATTTGATCTTTGAAAAAAATAAATAAATAAATAAAAGAACCACTAAAAACTGATGAAATAGGAACAGGAATGAGTGCCTTGTAAGTTGTACTCTGTGGAAAAAAAGCTCTGGTGCGCCTTTCTGCAGACGTAGAAGTCAACTGGAGGAGAAAGTGACATGAGATGGCAGGATTTGGAGTCTTGTTTCCTGATATTTGGACATCTTGCCTCTGATTGGCTTAAAGCAATGTGCTGGAATAAATAATAATAAAAATAACGTGTTTGTGATATTTTGTCTCTTTTTATCAGTTTTGTTGTTGAGCTAGAGATGTGACACAGTTCAGACCACTGAATCATAGCCATAAATAATCCATATGTTTGATCATTTTACATAAAAATAGAAACTGATAAGAACAACAACAACATGGTAGGATTTTGTGCATCAGTTTTAAGTCATAACCAGCTAACGACTTTTTTTTTATACCCATTTCTGTCTCCTAGTTCACCACTTCCTTGCTTTCTTCCAGCTTGCTGTCGAGCTCCTTCTTCTCTAATTCTGGTAATTGTTGCTCCAGATTTCTTGCAACAAATTTCAACATTTCCTTATGGATCGAATTAAAATACACTATTGTCAGTTCTTGACACTCATTTATGATTTAAATAGGTCACCATTCATCTTCATGAAATGAAATTTTCATTATCAGCATTTCCTTTATGTAAAGTAACGTAATATATTTAGAATGAAAATCACAAAAACAGGAACCGTGCTTGTGCATTTAGGCCGACATTTTCACTGAACACTGAGTGTTTAGCTGCGGTGTGCTCGGAGCCGTTTATGATCCAGAAGTTCTTGGTGTGAAAAGACAATTATCCACCGTCGCCCTGCCGATTAGCACGTCACAGAACAATTCAGAGGTTTCCTTCGTCAAAGGCGAAGCTCCTTGAAGCATTCCAGGAACAATCTATGGTGGAGATCTCCCCCTGACTCCAGGGCTCTCCTGGATTTGTTAAATAATCAAACCTCCGATAGCAATCTTTCCGTGTGCGCCCATTTGCAATGCAAATGGCGGTGATCAGTGGACGCCAAAGGGAGGACGCAGCTGTCCTCTAACAACAGCAACGGGAAAGCCCTTGCATGGTGCAGCTTTTTCCATCGCCAGCCTTCACTGATGGGAGTTTTATCTCTGTTAACCTTCTGTGGACCTCTGCATGCAGCTCTAAAGGCCCCTCCCATAATGAAAAAGCTGTTTATAGACTGATGTACACATTGGATTGGAGCTCTGAAAGCAAATGTCTGTGAAGACAACAGATACGACACTGAAAAAAGATCTGACGGTTTCTTTATACCTGGAATTCAATCCCATAGTTCTCCCTGCAGAAGTCTCTCAGTTTGGGGTAGACGTGCTCTTTCAGTGCGTTCCTCTCAGCTTCTGTGTCTGAAACAAAAATTAGAGGAATTTAAGAAGCCTAAATTTTTTTTAACATTTTAGTACAATAAATAACACATGTCAAGCAAAAAAAAGTCAATTTAATTAAATACAGGTGGACGATTGTGATGTATGGTCCACTTTATTCCATCTGATTAAAATCTAACAGCTTTTTTGTTTGGATGTTTTGTTTATACCCTTAGTGAAACATTCTCTTAAAAGTGAGCGTAAAGGATGTATGATATGTTGGTACAGACGTTAAGCGATATGGGGTTTTCTATTGCCGATACGATTGCATTACATAAAGGTCATTGTCAGCTTGAAGTCATTGTGTGCTGTCAATATTTTTAGATGATTTTATGGCTAATCTAGATGTATTTTAGCCTTAGTTGTTAGCTACATTTTATTAGCTACATTAGATTAATAGTTACATAACTACATTTTGTTGGCTACATTAGCTTATTTGTTTGCTACATTTTGTTAGCTATATTAGCTTATTTGTTGGCTACATTAGCTTGTTTGTTAGTTACATTTTGTTATCTACATTTGTTTATTTGCTAGCTACTTTTTGTTAGCTACAATAGATAATTAGGTAGCTACATGTTGTGAGCTACATCAGCTTATTTGTTTGCTACATTTTGTTGGCTACATTAGCGTATTTGTTAGCTACATTTTGTTAGCTACATTCGCTTATATGTTAGCTAAATTTGGTTGGCTACATTTGCTTATACGTTAGCTACATTTAGTTGGCTACATTTGCTTATATGTTAGCTACATTTGGTTAGCAACATTTGCTTATATGTTGGCTACATTTTGTTAGCTACATTTGCTTATATGTTAACTACATTAGATTATTATATAGCTACATTTTGTTAGCTACAATAGCTTATTTGTTAGCTACATTTAGTTAGCCACATTAACTTATTTGTTAGCTACATTAGCTTATTTGTTAGCTACATTTTCCCACCAATACCAGCTGTGGAGTGTACTGCAGAGTATTAAAATCAAGCATTTAACCAAAGTTAATCAAACAAGTCAATAAGCTTACCAGGCATTAAATATACAATACAGTTTAAAAAAAAGAAATGTCAGCTGACAATAATTTTTTAAAGAATTTACTAAGCAGAGGATTTTCAGAAATATAAATATGCATTTACATTTAATTGGGCAGCAGTGCCAGGCTGCCCACATACGTGTCCAACTTTATATATGCTCTACTAAGCAGTTTTTACAAAACAATGCCGTCAATTTACCACAACGCTGTAGGGGCATCAGGGAGCCTTAGGTTGTTTATAAGTGGTCAGACCGTGGCGGTAATGTGGCACAATCGTGGTCTTTTCATAAAAGATTAGGAGATGGCGGCATAGAGGGGGTATGGGGTCAGTCTCTGTGCTGTCGCAGACTTCCGGTTATTTTGGATATTACTTGATTTTCATTAAAATTGAAGCCACAATTGTTACGTGTTTTTAACAAGCTGCTCCTAAAGCGTCTGTCCCTGTGCGGTCTCTGGTGATCTGAGCTTCAAGTCTAACAGAGAGACGCCAAAGGAGCGCTGTGGCGCTCCTATTTGCCATTTCAGCTGATTATTTTTCAAAAAGCAAAACTTATTGCCCGTGTTTACTTTCATTTTAAATATATCAGCCGGCCGGAGCTAGGCATTAACTCCCCATATCACCATGACACCTCCCTCTGTTGTGCCATGACGCAATAGCCGTTTAGAAGGCAGACCATTACCGCAATATTACTACCAAGCGAGGCGGAACGAATGCTGCAAAATTCGCGCAACGGCATGTCGACGTGGCGCGTTTATAAGACATACTGTTGCGGTAATATTACGCCGATTTGCCGGCACAGTGTGTCTTGTAAAAAGGGCTCTAGAAAGGTCAGTTGATGCCAACATGTTACAAATGGTAAATATCAGCGCGATATATTGGTCTATCCATATATTGGTATCAATGTCAATGTTGTCCAACATTAGCCATTTTTTAACACATTGATATCAGGCTGATAAGTAAAAGTGGGCTGATATTAGAAACCAATGTTTACAAAGGCAGAACAGTTTGAATGTTACAGATTGGGAACCCACAGCTTGTTGCTGTTGTGTTCCACTTTTCCTTTTGCCTCCTCTTCCTCCCCTTCTCACCGATCTTCCAAATGGTTACTGTAATGTATTTGGACAGGCCTAGTCTCTGTCACTGCCTGTCGCTAACAGGGGGTTGTTTAAAACAGAATATGCCCCACATGGCTGAGAAACCCACACATATGTGCGTGCGAGCAGCATGCCACACGCAGCGTGAGCAGAGGGGCCTAGAGACCCACTCTGACGTATCCATCTCCCGTCTATCTTTAGTAAGGCTTTGGGCCGTGACTGAGCACATATCTGCCCGCGGCCATCCCGGCAAAATGTCAAAGCAAAACCAAACGTATGTAATTGTATGCAAATTAAATAACTAGCAGTTGCTGCATCAGCGGCGCTCTCATCTCGTTCCATCAGTTTAATAAATGTAGGAGATCTAACCGTGACGTGGAGGACAACAGAAATAGCAGCGTTTGTGGGATTTACATGAAACTGGTTTAGGAAGCGCAGAGGGACGAGTTGCACTCTCTCTCTTGCAACATGACCTGACAGACTCAACTGTGTTGTTATTTGTGTTGCGCTGATAACAGTGATATGCCTGTTTCTTCTTTTTATTGTGGGAGGATGATGAGTTATGGCAGCCTGTCATTTGTGTGTGTGTGTACACATACCAACATGAAGAAGAACAAAGACCAGATCCCACATTCGCCTGCTTTCTCTGCGTGGCCCTCCTTTCAATTTTTCTGTTTATTTCAAAGTTGTGAAACAATCCATCTTTCAGATTCTTCATGTCGGCTCTCTTTATTCTCCCTCTCAGTTTTAACATTCCTCTCAGCTTCCCTATGCATTTTTGGGCAGTACTGTACAAATAACCATTCACAATCTTCCTTCTTTGCTTTCCTGATTGCAAGTTTTGGTATGTGTCCAAACTTTAAAAACATCTAAAAGTCAGAAAATGACTTATTTTGTTAAAACAGTGTTCCCAAGTCCAACTGGATGTCTTCTGCATCTGCTACCTGTATGTTTGTGAGCCCAGTCGGCTAAAAATATGACTTTCTTTCTGCATCTGTTAGGTTTTGTAGCCTAGAAACCTAGTTAGACAGTTAGACAGTAGCTGAAGCAAAATGATTTTGCTCATCACATCAGTCTAGCCACGCTCCATAGAAATCTCAGCAGTCTTGACCAGTCTGGCGGTGTGCCAATCACAGCACTCTATCGGTTTGGTGGGCGGGATGATGCAACAGAGTGGAACAGCATCAACTTTGGACTATTTAGACCAGAGGTGGACCGATATGTTTTTTTAAGGCCGATGCCGATTTTGAAAGATTTTTGTTGATGATGGCCAATATCTGAAGTTGATTATTAAGGCCGATATATAAACATTTTAGTAGCACATTGATTGTGAAAGACAACTGAACACTGACTGTGTGCAATATAAATGAAATTAGTCATTAAGTCTCTTAATATTTATTGAACTTCAAATATGAAACAAAGTCAAAATATTTTCAGTGTGCAAACTGTTTCAGAACAATAGAAAAGAAAACAGCTTCTAGTTTTTTTATGTGTTTAAAATAAAGAAAATCACACTTTATCTTCAAGTAAAAAAACAAAATCACAAAGTAAAGCACACTACCACACTGTAGTAAAATAAAATCTAAACTATACATAAAAAATTGTGCAAACATGAAACACCAAGCTTAAAGGCCTATTCCACCCCTAAGTAAAATTTTGTCTGACAAAATTTTACTTAGGGGTGGAATATTCCCTTAGGTGTAAACAATGAAAAAGGCACCTGATTTTACATTTTTTAATCGGCTTTTAAAAATAATTTTGGCTGATAGTTGATATTGAAAAAATTTAATATATCGGACGGTCGGCGTCTAATTTGGATTTTGGATTTTCATTGAGCCAAGAGCAGATAGAGGTACCTAAGTCCTTTATTTAGAAAAAAGATCTATTTGTGTCTTCTTAGACATTGTATGGCAGACTGCCCAGTTGATTGACATCCGTATTCGTGAGTACATCATGCTGTTTGCCAGGTTTAGTTGAGTGAGCAGCAAAAACTGAACTTTGCAAGAAAACAATGGCATAAACCTGAAAAAAGTCAGATAGTTATCTGAAATGTTTGTGATCATTCAGTCTGGGAGAATTTCTGTTTGCTTTTTAGGTGAACTTTTTTCATTTAATTAGTTAGTGAATGGTTGTTTCCTCGAAACTTTTTACCCAGTAGAATACATCATTTAAATTCTTGTATTTATGAGCAGGGAATACATTGCTCTGCCTGCTTTGTCTCCTCTGTGGGTTTTTGGTGACCTCTGCAACCTTTTCAGACATGAATTTATTGGATCTTATTTTTACCAGCATTGGGGAAAAGAGGCATGTTGAGACAGGCAGCTTATAAAATTAGTCAACTTTGTGTGGACAACTCCAGGCTTTTCTGTCTTCCTCACCTTTTATATGAACAGTGTATGAATTATTTGGCAAAATAGTTTTTTTTTCTACTATTGAATAACAAGAAATCCTCAATTAGTTTGGAGCATTACCTGGCTTTTTCTATTAAGATAAAGTAACAGGAAAGTAGCTACTTAAACCTGGTTCACACAGCAGGATTTTTAAATAGTCGTGACAATTTGCACGAACCATGATGGTTGGGACAAGGTCGCACAGAAAGAATAAATCTTTTACAGCATTTTCATTTTAATTGTCTTAGTTTGAACAATGTGTATTTAGAAAAATGACCAGATTCTCTGTTACACTCGTCAAGACCATTGCCTTTTTATAATAATGGACGAAACATCCGCACCATTACCCGAAGGTTTTTAAGAGCTGAACTGAAGCCCAGTGGGTATTTTTCACCACCACCATCTTGGCTGGGTCACACACCTCGACACTCCCGGAAAATACAAAAATGGAGCTGAGGGCGGAGCTCTGA